CGCGCCGCGCGTGATCTGCGGTGCCACGTCGGGGCATCGGCATTCGGCGCGCCGTGCGGGCGCAGGCTTTGGCCGGACATGCGGCGTCCGTCGTGGCCTACTCGGATTCCAAGGTTTGCCGCTGCCGATCCATCCAAGCGCGCGCAAGGCGTAGCCGGCGCCGAAACGCGCGTGGCTACCCCCACGCCTGGCCCTGCGTGTTGCATGCAGTGCGTCCCTGCCCTGCCCCGTCTCTCCGTCTCCGGTCACGCAGGCCTGCCGCCGGAGGGTGGGCAGAGCGCGGAGGGGTGCCGATCGCGCGACGGGAAGCCCTGCGGTGGGCTCGTTTGACGTTCCTCGCCACGATTCCCCTGCTGGCTGCTGCAGTGCAGTGCACGCTTGTGGAGCTACAGGCTACGGTCCCTCCCTCCCAACTCCCGCGCATCTACTACATCTACATCTACTCCCCGGCGGATACGGTGGAGGTGCGCCCATGCACGCGCGCACGGTGGCGTACGGGCGGCGTGCTCCATGGGCGTCGGCCCCGGGCACCCACCGGGAGGAGCCCAGTCCGGTCCGGACCGGTCCATTCCAACTACATGCACGAAATGCACGAATGATGCGCTCATGCACTTGCTCCGCAGCGCCTTGATCGGCCTCCTTCGCTCGCTCGTCCCAATTTAATAGCCCGCGCGTTCCGGCCGGCCGTCGGCGGGGACCCGAACGCGATGCACGGGGACAAATTAGTAGCGGTAGGGGCTAGCAAGGGAGTAGTAGTAATCAGTGTAACGCGTTCGTCCTCCCAACGTGATCGATCATCGCGGATCGCTTCCCTCGATCTCCCGCCCACTTGGAACCTGAAGATCGGGAGAAGCACAAATGCATCCACGGCCACGCCCCCACGCTCTCCGGAGAGACACGGCCGCCCAGACCCGGTGACAGGCATACCCCGCCGCCCTGGAGCTCGTCGTGCTCAGTCAGCCCTGCCGGCGGCTGCAGGGACCACCCACCTGACGCCATTCCATTTCTATATTTCTGGTTCGGCTGGTTCACGGCGGCCTCGCCCCGACAATGAAGCAAGGCCACGGTTCCGACAGGCGAGCACGCGTGCCCCTGTCCTCGTCGCCATGGGCAAGGCGGCAAGATGAAGGCCGGTGAATAGTTCCGGAGTTAAGGAGACCCCGCCCTGCGACCCAACCAGGCAGCACCGGACAACGCAGCACCGAGAGCACGAGGTCGAAATAAATTGCACGAGTAGCTCCCGAGCAGCGGCATTTAACCAGCCATCCCATCTCCGGCCATGGCCATGGCGAATCTGGCAGCGGCATATGGAGGGCGACACGTCCCGGTGCGGCGGCCCTGAATAAATGGGGCACGCGATCGTCAAACACGACAATGCTGCATGTCCGTCCGCCCGCCCGTCCGTCCGTCCATGACACCACCCACACTACACCTAGAGCTATTTAGTAGTACTAGAGAGAAGAGGATCATCGCCATTAAAAGCCGCAACCAAAACGGGCCCTCTGCCTTGCTCGCCTTTGCTTCCCAAAGCCCTTTGCTGGGCATGCAAAGAGCAGTAATCAGTGCCGAAAACGCACAAAGCCCTCCCGCCCCGTCCTTCGATGAAAGTTGCTACAGTCGGGAGAAAGAAAGAAAGAAAGAAAGAAATTCGTTTATACAAAGCGGCACATGCATGGCCTGCCCATGGTGAGGACGGAGGACGGACGGACATGACCTGACTACCTGAGGAGGAGGAGCTGGCTGCCCTTTTGGTCCTTGGCCTAGTATTTTGAGAGTTTTCCGGGGCGATGCCGCCGCGGTCAAAGGGAAAGGCGACTGCACGCACAGTGATCGCCGCGCCGCGCCATTGTTTATTCGGCGACACGGCTGGGGTTGGGCCTTCGGCGTCGCTTTTCCCTTCGGTTCCCGCGGGTTGTTTCGGGGCGCGACACCACACGACACGGTGACAGCCTTGGAACGGGGACGGCCGGGCCAGCGCCTCCTCCACCCCCCGCTGGATGGATGTTCTTCCCTTCCCACCCACGATTAGTTTACGCCCCCGTCATTTCGTGACAGTACAGTGGCAGGGGAGCACCCAAACACTTTCTTCTCCTTCTTAATTCCGCCTGCAGCCTCGTCCGGCCCTCTTGCCGCCGCTTGTTCTCTCCTCACCCCAGCCTGCCCAGGTACTACAAATGGAGTCCTTTTCATACCCGGAAATGCCGAGCAGTGAAAGAAAGCATAATTTTGGGTGCAAGCATGATCGCCACGGCGCCAGATTGTCTGGAGTTGTTGAGCCACACCAATAACTTCGCTACCGATCCTCGGCAGATCCTGCCTTGCTGGAAATGGGCCAAGCGGATCCGGGCATAGTACAAGGAGGGGGCGCAACTGCCTCCTCTAACGAACAAGAGGCAGCGGAAATGGGGGACGAGACGAACGTGATGAGAGTAACATGGGATTGATGAATGAATGATGACAACAGGTACTTCTAAATATAACATGTCCATGAGGATCCATCCAGCGATCGCAACAATGTACAGACAAATTTACAGAGCAGCAGCAGCAGCAGATTGTATCATCCATTTTTCTCCTCTGCCCTACCCTCAACACAACCATCAAACGATGCCATTATATCATCCATACCATACCCAACCTTCCTCTCCCAGCTACTGTACCGTCGCAAAATCAAGCTCACTTTGGGTTTTTAATTTTAATTTTAATTAAACAAATGCGGGAATGCGAACCAAAAACCACAAAACCAATGGAATTAAAGAACGAAAACCAAAAAGGCGGTTTATCTTCTTCTTCTTCTTCTTCTTCTATCATCATCGGGGACTGACTCCAATGGCGGTGTCATGGACTGTAGGCCTCAGAGGGACTCGCCGGCGCTGCTCTTCACCTTGGATCTGTAGAGGAGCTTCTTCTTCTTCGACGCCGCGTTGCTGACCGTCAGCACGATCTTGCCGGCCTCGCCGGCCTTGAAGCTGCCCTTCATGATGGGCTCCTCGTTCGCGGGGACCTTCCTCGTCTTCTGCACGATCACGGTGTACGCGCCCTCGGCGTCCGGGGTGAACTCCGCGCCGTGGCTCACCTCCCAGCCCAGCACCCGCAGCTCCCATACAATCGTTGAGTTCTACAACGGCAGATGGACAATTATGTAAGTTTTGAACGATCAATGCATTAGAGGAATTCATAAGCGATCACCAATTTATAATGCAAATGAGGCTAACCTCGGTGACAGGGATCTCGATGGCTTCTTTGGATGAAGCTTTGATAGTGAGCTCGGTGACAGAGTCGGAGGTGGTGAAATCAGGGTCATCTTCCTTGAAGAGGCCTCCGAATTGGACGGGGACTTGCTCGGGCGCGATGTATCTGAATTTTTGTTACAGAAGATGAACACTAGCTGAGAACATGATCCCTCGGCAATCCAACAATGAAAACTGAAACTTATAAGCATATCGTGCACAATACCTGAAGAGGGTCTCGGGTGACTTGGCCTGGCTGGCGAACACGAACTTGCTCTTGGTGCGCTGGGTGAGGAAAGGGCTCATCATTTTGTTGGCAGCCAGATACCACCATGGCACGTTGATGAACACCTGCATAGACACCATGATCCAGCCAAACTTATGATCCAATTCCACTTAAACTACTGCAATTAACTACGAATTGGTATAGTAAAAGAATGTTACAACTCAGAATTGGGAAAAGTACGAGCAAAAGGAAAAGATCCCCAATTCGCGCTATGATGATGACCAAAGCCCGCCCACGCCAAAAGACATGAGTCAACTCAATACAGGACTCAAATTTGAAAGCATAAAGGTCTGCCCTTTAGCGCAGTGCCCAAAGAACACGCTTTGGGCTCAATCATTCACTCCCAACGTTAAACTGTGAACGGATAGAAACTGAATCTTCGGCACAAACAGCTAGCCACAGCTAAATTTCGATGCACAATGTCACAATGTTGGATCACAGTTACTGCTGCAGCTGTGAAATTGGAAATACTACCAAGTAATTCGATGGCGGAGAGAAGAAGCGTTAGTACCTTCTTGGCGATGAACTCGGGGTAGTTGTCCTGGAGCAGGGCGACGGCCTGGCGGGTGACGGCGCGGTGCTTGCCGAGCATGGGCGGCGAGTTCTTGAGGTCGGTGACCTGCACCATGGAGCAGATGCCGCTGGGCGCGAAGTCCAGCTGCGACAGGATGCCGCGCTCCAGCAGCTGGATGCGCCACTTGAGGAACCGCTCCCGCTTCTCCTCGTCGCCGAACGCCTTCTCGTACACCTCCTTGTCCTGGAACTCGCCGTACACGTTGTAGCACACCGGGTGGCCCTCCCGGTCCGCGCCGCGGTAGAACACCACCTTCTCCAGCTCCGGGAACGCCAGGTCCGCCTCCAGGAGCGACTCGATGCCGAAGCGCTTCCGCCACAGCACGGCGGACCGGAGCATCGCCATCGCCTCCTTCACCTTGAACTCCCGCGCGCGCAGGAACTTGAGCAGCACCGCGTCCGTGCGCTCGTCGTCGCCCACCAGCGGCACGCCCCAGATGAACACCGGCTCGGGCGCGGCTGCCTCCGCCTCCGGTGCCTGCTCTGTGGTGGCGGCGGCGGCGGCGGCGGCTTCCTCGACCGCTTCCGCCGTCTTGGTGCCCTCCTCGGCGGCTACGACGGCTTCGTCCTCCGTCTTTGGCTCGGCCGGCTTGGCCTCCTCGGCCTTGGGTGCCTCCTTGGCCGGCTCCTCGGCTGCTGCCTCGGCAGCGACCTCAGCCTTGGCCTCCTCGGCTGCCGGCTCCGCCGCCGCCTCGGCCTTGGGCTCCTCCTTGGCCGGCTCCTCAGCCTTGGGCTCCTCCTTGGCTGGTTCTTCCGCCTTGGCCGGCTCCTCGGCCTTGGCCTCCTCCTTGGCCGGCGCCTCCGTCTTGGTCTCCTCTGCGGCGGCCTCAGTCTTGGCCTTGGGCGGCGGCGGGGGCGGGGGCAGATTGAACTCACCGGCGGCGAGCGCGGCGACGATCAGCTCCTTGAACTCATCAAGCGCCTTCTTCTCCGGGTCAGGCAGGTCGGCGACGAGGTTGCTCTCCTCCTTGAAGGAGCCGGTGGCCTCGACGGCGCCCCCGTCGTCGGCGACGGCGGCCGCCTCCTCGGCCTCCGCCTCCGCCGCGGGCTCCTCGGCCTTCTTCTCCACCTCCGCCGGCGCCTTCTCGGCGACGACCACCTCCGTGGCCGCGGCGGCGGCCTGTGGCTGCGGCTCCTCTGCCATCTCCGCGAGCTGTTTCAAGCTTTTGCGATGAAGAAAGACAGAGCAGGGGAGAGAGACGGAGGGGGAGAGAGACGGAGGGGGAGAGAGAAAGCTTGGGGTGTTGTGCTGGGACTAGGGTTTGGGGAGGGGAGATATAGGGCGGGGGCGGGGGCGGAGGCGGAGGCGGAGCAAGGCTGTCAGAGTGGGGAGGCCAGCTTTGCTTGCGGCTGCGCTCTTGCGCTGGCCGGACGGAAGAGGAGAACCGGACCGGACCAGAGCAAGGAAGGTGGCGCGCCCCGCGTGGGGCCCCGCGTCATGCAACGGATTTGTTCCAATTGATGACGCGTTAATTGCGGCGATTTCTTTCTTGCTGGATGATTTGTTTTCTTGTGTCGGGGTGGAAATGAGATGGACGGTGGCGGAGGTATCATCAGTGGGTGCGTATTACTGCCTCCGTTTAAAAATGCATTGATTACATAGCAATACAACATGTCTAATTTGGGGCTTTAAATTCATAGCTTCGTGCGAAGTGAGCGTAGTTCGGATGGCTAGTTCCTTGTGACGGAACCAACCCGTCACGGTTTAAGTCTTAGACTTCGCATTGGTGATCGTACTTTTCTTAATTTATTTCAGGCTTTTCGACGATGTGTGTTTAGTGAGAGAAGATGTTTCCATCGACTATGAAGGTGTTTGCGACGACTTCGTCAATCTCAAGATGATGTGCCGTCTAAGTCTCTCGAAAGTGCTCATAAGAGTAATGTGTATGTGTGTGTTCATAGGGATGAGTGTATTGTGCGTATGTATGAGTGTCTGCGTATCTACTATGTTTGAAAAAAAATCATAGCTTTGTGATACTCCGGTATTTTGCCATCTCCTCGACAAATTGAGGGGAGAAACCCTACCGAGCACCTTGACGGTAATGCCGGATTGGGGGTCACTCATCACGTCATGTTCCGGTCAGGTGGGCCGGCCGAGCACCCCATGTCGGTTAGTCACTGGGCCAAATTAGGAGGCCCATGGTGTATAAAAGAAAGCCTCCCGAAGACTTGGTGCATGCTCCATTTTCCCTAACCTAATCTCACTCAAAAAGTTTCTTCATGGATGTGCCAAACTAGGGGGGCTCCCTAGATACAGTAAGCTTCATAGTGCGGATGCGGTAGTGGACTCTTCAGCGTGTGTGTGGGTCGTCGTGGTCAACTTATGTGGTGATGGAGTTGGAGGTGTGTGGTGGCGAGTGAAGGAAATATGCTCTAGAGGCAATAATAAAGTTATTATTTATTTCCTTATATCATGATAAATGTTTATTATTAATCCTAGAATTGTATTAACAGGAAACGTAATACATGTGTGAATATATAGACAAACAGAGTGTCACTAGTATGTCTCTACTTGACTAGCTCGTTGATCAAAGATGGTTATGTTTCCTAGCCATAGACATGAATTGTCATTTGATTAACGGGGTCACATCATTAGGAGAATGATGTGATTGACTTGACCCATTCCATTAGCTTAGCACTTGATCGTTTAGTATGTTGCTATTGCTTTCTTCATGACTTATACATGTTCCTATGACTATGAGATTATGCAACTCCTGTTTACCGAAGGAACACTTTGTGTGCTACCAAACGTCACAACGTAATTGGGTGATTATAAAGGTGCTCTACAGGTGTCTCTAAAGGTCCTTGTTGGGTTGGCGTATTTCAAGATTAGGATTTGTCACTCCGGTTGTCGGAGAGGTATCTCTGGGCCCTCTCGGTAATGCACATCACTATAAGCCTTGCAAGCAATGTGACTAATGAGTTAGTTGCGGGATGATGCACTACGGAACTAGTAAAGAGACTTGTCGGTAACGGGATTGAACTAGGTATTGAGATACCGACGATCGAATCTCGGGCAAGTAACATACCGATGACGAAGGGAACAAAGTATGTTGTTATGTGGTTTGACTGATAAAGATCTTCATAGAATATGTAGGAGCCAATATGAGCATCCAGGTTCCGCTATTGGTTATTGACCGGAGACATGTCTCGGTCATGTCTACATAGTTCTCGAATCCGTAGGGTCCGCACGCTTAAAGTTTGGTGACGATCGATATTATGAGTTTTTGTGTTTTGATGTACCGAAAGTAGTTCGGAGTCACGGATATGATCACGGACATGACGAGGAGTCTCGAAATAGTCGAGACGTAAAGATCGATATATTGGACGACTATATTCGGACACCGGAAGTGTTCCGAGTGGTTTCGGGTAAAAATCGGAGTACCGGGGGGTTATCGGAACCCCTAGGGGAGTTAATTGGGCCTCATGGGCCTTAGTGGGAGAAGAGGAGGGGTGGCCAGGGCAGCCGCGCGCCCCCTCCCCCTCTAGTCCGAATTGGACAAGGAGGGGGCGGCGCCCCCCTTTTTCCTTCTCCTCCTCTCTCCCTTCCTTCCCTCTCCTACTCCAACAAGGAAAAGGAGGAGTCCTACTCCTGGTGGGAGTAGGACTCCCCCCTGGCACGCCCTCCTCCTGGCCGGCCACCTCCCCCCTTGCTCTTTATATACGGGGCAGGGGGCACCCTAGAACACACAAGATGATCTGCTGATCTATTCCAGCCATGTGCAGTGCCCCTCCACCATATTCCACCTCGGTTATATCGTAGCGGTGCTTAGGCGAAGCCCTGTGTCGGTAGCAACATCATCACCATCATCACGCCGTCATATTGACGGAACTCTCCCGTGAAGCTCTGCTAGATCGGAGTTCGCGGGACGTCATCGAGCTGAACGTGTGCTGAACTCGGAGGTGTTGTACATTCGGTACTTGGATCGGTCGGATCGTGAAGACGCACGACTACATCAACCACGTTGTGCTAACGCTTCCGCTTTCGGTCTATGAGGGTACGTGGACAAACTCTCCCCTCTCGTTGCTATGCATCACCAAGATCCTGAGTGTGCGTATGAATTTGTTTGAAATTACTACATTCCCCAACAGTGGCGTCCGAGCCAGGTTTTATGCGTAGATGTTATATGCATGAGTAGAACACATGTGAGTTGTGCGCGATACAAGTCATACTGCTTACCAGCATGTCACACTTTGGTTCGGCGGTATTGTTGGATGAAGCAGCCCGGACCGACATTACGCGTACGCTTACGCGAGACTTGTTCTACCGACGTGCTTTGCACATAGGTGGCTGACGGGTGTCAGTTTCTCCAACTCTAGTTGAACCGAGTGTGGCTATGCCCGGTCCTTGAGAAGGTTAAAACAACACTAACTTGATGAACTATCGTTGTGGTTTTGATGCGTAGGTAAGAACAGTTCTTGCTAAGCCCATAGCAGCCACGTAAAACTTGCAACAACAAAGTAGAGGACGTCTAACTTGTTTTTGCAGGGCATGTTGTGATGTGATATGGTCAAGGCATGATGTTATATTGTATGAGATGATCATGTTTTGTAACCGAGTTATCGGCAACTGGCAGGAGCCATATGGTTGTCGCTTTATTGTATGCAATGCAATCGCCCTGTAATTGCTTTACTTTATCACTAAGCGGTACTGATAGTCGTAGAAGCAATAGTTGGCGAGATGAAAACGATGCTACGATGGAGATCAAGGTGTCGCGCCGGTGACAATGGTGATCATGACGGTGCTTCAGAGATGGAGATCACAAGCACAAGATGATGATGGCCATATCATATCACTTATAGTGATTACATGTGATGTTTATCTTTTATGCATCTTATTTTGCTTTGATTGGCGGTAGCATTATAAGATGATCTCTCACTAAATTTCAAGATAAAAGTGATCTCCCTGAGTATGCACCGTTGCCAAAGTTCGTCGTGCCAAGACACCATGTGATGATCGGGTGTGATAAGATCTACGTTCATCTACAACGGGTGCAAGCCAGTTTTGCACACGCAGAATACCCGGGTTAAACTTGACGAGCCTAGCATATGCATATATGGCCTCGGAACACTGAGACCGAAAGGTCGAGCGTGAATCATATAGTAGATATGATCAACATAGTGATGTTCACCGTTGAAAACTACTCCATCTCACGTGATGATCGGACATGGTTTAGTTGATTTGGATCACGTGATCACTTAGATGATTAGAGGGATGTCTATCTAAGTGGGAGTTCTTAAGTAATATGATTAATTAAACTTAAATTTATCATGAACTTAGTACCTGATAGTATTTTGCTTGTCTATGTTGATTGTAGATAAATGGCCCGTGTTGTTGTTCCGTTGAATTTTAATGCGTTCCTTGAGAAAGCAAAGTTGAAAGATGATGGTAGCAATTACATGGACTGGGTTTGTAACTTGAGGATTATCCTCATTGCTGCACAGAAGAATTACGTCCTTGAAGCACCGCTGGGTGCCAGGCCTGCTGCAGATGCTGTTGATGACGTTAAGAACGTCTGGCAGAGTAAAGCTAATGCTTTACGGCTTAGAACCGGGACTTCAACGACGTTTTGAACGTCATGGAGAATATGAGATGTTCCAGGAGTTGAAGTTAATATTTCAAGCAAATGCCCGGATTGAGAGATATGAAGTCTCCAATAAGTTCTATAGCAGAGGGTGTTGTCATGGCTCAATGTGCACATGATTCTGCATGTGGCTCCTATAGCACAGCAACACCTGCAGTCAGAGGGTGTTGTGATGCCAGTTCCCACTCCAGGAACCTCCTCTGTCAGAGATCTTGAAGCTCCTGGTTCCTCTTTGCCCACTATTCAACAAGACAAACATACTGAGATTTTGATGGAAGTACCTGCTACTGGAAACTGTACTGTGCCCCTGGAAGTTGTTGCTAATGCAACTGTGGCAGACTCTTTTCCTTCGCATCAACCAGATATTAAGGGCAAGGCAGATGTTCCAGTACCCCACTGTGGTTCCCCATCTGCAGCAAACCCTAAAGAAGGACTGGATTTATGGATTCAGCACTTTGCACCAACAACACAAGGAGCTACTCCAACTTTCAAAATTAAAATACCAGTAAGTTGGTTTAACTTCATAATTCACTTACTGTTGACACCTGACAAGTTTGGA